CTGGAAGGTGTAAGACCTTCAGTGAGGTCCAGGACCATGGGTCTGGAGGTAACTTCTCAGATCTTGTGCACGATCTCCTGGGGATCTGGAGAAGGTTGGGGTCCCAGGCCTCATCACTGACCTTCCAAATCAGAATCTCCAGAGGAGGCTGGGCATGTGCACCTGAAACAAACTTCCAGGGGGACTGTGAGGTCCATTCACACTGTGGTCAGATACGACGGGAGAAAGGTCCCTGGGCTTGGAACCAAGAGCAGCCTTTGGGTCTGGGTTCTGCTACGCCTACGGATCACTGATAATCTCTGAGTGTGAACTGTGCAAGTAAAAAGATGAAGCTGGGTGACCTGATCTTAAGTCCTTAATAGCTCCCACAGCCTGGTCTACTAAAACAGAGTCCATCTGAAAACAATTGTAAAATACAGCCTGCTCTGGCACCAGGGTGCCTTCAAGAATCCTGATTTCTAAGCAATAGTTCCTATTTGTTTTCAGGTCCTCTTCATACTCTAAATAATAAAAGAAATATCTGAACCTTCAGAAGAAATATGGCCAGGGCAAAATCCTTCACATGCACTGACCTTGAGTTCTTCTGTTTTGGAGGCTAACCATGTATGAAGATGTCATTTATATTGGAGATACAGAAGGTCTAGGTGCAGGAGCCTTGGGAAGGAGCAATGTCACATTGAGATTCAGCCTTATTTGTCAGGGTATTGACCCCACACTCCTCACACAAATTAGTTCCTTTCTGATCTCCCCGAAGAGGGAGGGCCTTGTCTCACTTATAAGATGTCCTCAGTTTGGTCATTCCTTGAGCTGAGCTGACTGCGTGGCTCTTGATCCACTCCTACTCACTGACTTAAACCTCTGCTGTGGTTTCTGGACTCTCCATTTCAGACAGTAGGGCCCATACTTCTCTCTGATCTTCGGGCATCTCCAGGGGCTGGCCCTTACTGCTGGTCCTAGAGTGATCTTGGTTCTTCTGATCCTGGCTTCCTGCTCCATTTCCAAAACCTCTTCCCTCCCCTGGACCCAACCTCACAGGACAAGAGGCGTCACAGTGCAGCTGAGCCTGAGCTGGCTGGAGGACTCCTGCATTTCCTAATGGAGCTTTCAGATGGCAGGCTGCATCTTCCAACAGCATGCAAATGGCTGTTTTTCACTTTGCTGACATCAGAGAAACTGGGAAACTATTTCTACCCACTCCCAGTTTGTTCTGCCACCTAGACTTCCTAAGGGCTGTCGGGAGTGTGAACTCAAGGAAGGGTACGTGGCTGTGGGAGGTCAGGCGACTGGCAGACCAGCCACAGCGCAGCTGCTGTTGGTTCTGGGTGAAAGTTAAAGGCTGGGAGCAAAGTCAAAGAGGTCCAGGTATAAAAACAGGAAGTCTCAAAAGTAGGGGTGCTGCTTGTACGTAGGCCCTGCCTCTTGAGTGTGTCTGTGAACATGCATGCTTATGTCCTGCCTCTCGGTATCGTTCATGAAAGTAGAACCAGTCCTGGAATAATGGAGCTGGAAGACCCTCAATGACCACCTACTTCAAACCCTCGATTCACCACATAGAAACTGAAGCTCTAGACTCCTTAACTAGTTTAGGATAGTAGCAATAGCATTCTCTCATAACTCTACCCTCTGGTAAACAGAGAATGTTTGAAGAGAATCCAGCCAGCAAGGTTGGGGAAAAGCTGAAATACTTAGACTCCCTCCCCTCAAAGTGGGCCCGTTCTGCAGGCAAGTATCAGGTAGTGGAGTGTTTTAGGGGACAGAGCAATGCAGATCTGGACACCAGTCTTTTCTACACTCTTCCAGCCTTTTAAAATAGAACTTGAGCATATTTAGGTCCGCTAGTAGATAGATACTATTAGCTCCCCCACAGCATAGTCCCATGGAAGGCAGGAATGGAGAGGGTGAGTAGGAACCAGGTTTTAAAGGTAAGACGAGATAATTCAATCTTGGGGCGCTTAAGAGAGTTACAGGGCTAAGCAGGCACAAGAAATAAAAGACACAGAAGTCTATGTCAATCGATGAGTTCTTCTCCATAAATGGCGTATCTTAGCTAACCGGTAGCTTTTAAGTCTTAGAGTTAATAATTAGAGCAATTTAAAATCTCTTTACTCTTATGAAGAACACGTAACTTAATATACTGGAAATAACAGTCTAAATGTCTCATGTCAACCCATGAGGAATTGTTTAAGAACAGCTGAAGATTGATGTGAGTAAGTGGATGAATAAGAAGAAAAGAAAAGTAAGGCTAAGGAACATCCGGAAATTTTCCTACCAGTAAAATCTATTAGTCTCTAAGATGGTACCCCAGGGAACCTGTGAAAGCCCAATCTTATGAGTCATTTAGAAGTGCAGGGGATTTGGCTGTTGGGATTATTCCACGGGGGAAACCCTTGCACTACGTCGGAAATGGACAATATCACCTAATGGGCTGTTGTCATGTTCACATGTCCAGCCTGACCTCTGGATTGAACAGGAAGCATAAGAAGGGGAGTTGGCCATCAGGAACTGTCACAATAGGCAGTGAAGACCACAAACAATGCCACAGTCTCTTCCAACCAAGAAGCAGGGATGGTGTCATGAGGTGAGACCAACTTCACAGTGAGCAAAAGGACAACCTGGGACCAGAAGGACAAGCAACTTCTCAGGAAACTCTGATGTCAGCTCCCTCCTGCCATCTTGTGTCATCTTCCAAGGGACAGTGTGAGCTGCCCCTGTGACCATCTCACTCCCTATTTGTGACCTTCAGGACTCTATTACTACCTTGTCAGATGATTAGTGCTCCTGTCCCTTGCTTTATCATTACTGCCGGCATTTTCCATTATTGCCTTATTTCTGTATTAGTGGATGATCGATATCCCCTCATACACATACCTTCTCAAAAACCAAACACTACTTAACTTATTTTGAAATTTGTTTTTATGGCAAGGTACCTCTCAGTCTAGTTGTTAAATTTACCATCACAATTTCCCTGGGTTTCAATGCTCTCAACTGTAAAATGGTGACAATAAAACCATCTCTATTTACATCTCAGGTTGTCATAAAAAACAAGTCACAGGATGAATGTGAAATGACCTTGAAATCCTAAGTACTATAGAAATACAAAGTGGTATGTTTCTTGATTCTCGCCCATTTCAATGTTGCCTGTGCCTGACTTAGGATAAAGGTTTTTTTGACATATCTTTTAATATCACCTTGTACTATAACTGAATATAAGAGCCATAAAACAATAGGTACTTCAAACATCTGACCACCGACAATACTAAATGATGTGTCAGACTGGGAAGTGAGGGTGAGGAAGGAGGGTCTCTTTGGGAGTCACTAGCAATAATTTAATGTTAATCTGTTTCATTTCAGCATGAAAGACTATAACTGAGAAAGAGGAGGAAGAGATTTGTTGAAAACTTTGCATGAATGTAATCATCAAATTACTTCAATCACACATGAGAAAAACGAAGGCTCAAGGTCATAGCCCCTGTCAAATGCTGGGCATGGATATGATACCAACTCAGACCTGCCAGATTCTAACTTTCTTGCATCCTGTGGTGTATTTGACCTTATCATGTTAATTTTGTTTTATTCTATAAAGATGCCCCATCGATCCCCTGGAACTATGAGTAGAGGATTCCACAAAAGCGAGACAGGCAGAGGGAGTCAACATTTCCAACGCGCTTATAGTCGCCACCTTCGGTAATGTTACAAAGCACACCATGGAAACAGGTGTGTGCGTCAGACACCAGGATGAACGTGCATTATGTCATGGCCATTCCTTCCTTTGATTCCTCAGCTCCTCCTCAATAAGGCAAGATTATCAAGTTAGAAAACCCAGGAGTCAACCGAACAGTCCCAATCACTTCCAGTTCTATCAATATTGAAGGTTGGGTTGGGGCTCAGTAAGAGCAAATCAGAAGCTGTTTTTGACAAATAAAATGTACTAACTTAACATTGGCAACGTCACCTCTACCAAACACCCTTAAAGAAAAGAATCCCTGGCAGACACAAGCTGCTAGAAGCAGGAAGGAAACAAAAGCCACAAGCCCCCAGGCTCTGAAATACAACATGGGCTTTTCATCTTGATGACATTTTTTCCTCTAGTGCTACTGTTATTTCCCAGCCATCCAGACAATACCAGTCCTCCCTTCAGATGTTTGTAGAGTACGAGAAATTTACACTAAGTGGTATTGTTGTAACTACAGCAAATTGGACTGCAGAAAGGCATGCTGTGTAACTCAAACACTAGATTTAGTCGGGTTAGAAGGTCAACTTTAGGGAACTCGTCAGCAGAAAGAACCAAAGTTTCCAATAATTTCTGTCTCTCAGAACCACCTACATCCAACTATTAAAGCAGTTAAATGAGAGGCAATTACATGACCTGTTGGCATTGTTAATTTGCTTTAGGGTTATCATTAGCCTTCTAAAGTACATAAATCAGAGCAAAAACACGTTCTGTGCACATTGTGTTATTCTGAGACGAGTGGTCAAGAGAAGAATATGATATATGAAAGCAAGGGAAATTCTTTCCTAAATCCCATCTCCAGTCTCCCTTTCCTTGCCTGGGTGGACTCTACCAACTGGTAAAAGGATGGACAAGAAATTGAATAGCAGGTTTCTTTCATTGCTGTTATTTTTAAACTAGGTTCTCTCCAAGGCTATCTGCTGCTTATGGATCCAAAGTTTCTGGCCCCTGAATTTATGGCCTTCCTCTTAGCTGGCTTTGAATAGTGGCTTAGGAAAGCAAGGCAATGACCTTGAGCATAGAATTATTAAAAGACAAAAGGTTTGGGGCAAATGAAAGAAGTATAATTTTAATAGAACTTCCCCCTCTGCATGTAAATGAGTTGAACACAGGAAAAAGATCTGGGTGGCAACAATTCTTGCAGTAATTCCTGACGAGGAGGGCTCGAGTTTATAATGCATTTTCTTATACACTGAATCCTTAATACTGCCCCATGACATCGGGCTCTCCATTCTCCTGGTGTCCCAGTTGGCCTCGCTCGAACACTCACCTGTTTGGCATGATTGACACAGTGCATGTACTGGTTGGCCAGAGCAGAGCAGCTGAGGGTCTGGTGGCTGTTCTGGCGATAACACTGGAGGATTTGGGCCTGCAGGTCAGCACAGACTGGATGATACTCATACCGCCTGCAAACAAAAACAGGGACCAGTGAGACAAATGATCTTTACTCAGAATGATGACTGAGGTTGAAGAATACATAAAACATTAAAGAAGGTACATTGTAAATATAGAAAAATATTTAATGGAATAATTATCTTCAAATTCCAAAGAAGCACAATGAAATTATTCCCATGAAAGAATGCACATAGAGTTCATGAATTTTAGGAAATGTAGTTTCATGGATTAATACCATTACAAGTGACTCTGGACACCATGACCTTCTCTCTTAAACCCAAACCCAAACCCCTGTGAACAGTGTGGCACTCTGTAGCCAGCCTGCCAAGCCAGAAACCTGTCGGCCTCACTCTCCCTCCCATCCCCACGTCCAGCAGGTCACGAAGCTGGAGCAGCAGTCGGTCCTCCTTCTCCATGCCCACTGTCATTACTGCAGTTCCAAATTATTTATTTCCTGTATTCAAGCAATGACCTCCAAACAGGTCTCTGTTACAGTGTTCTGCCCTCTATTCCTGCCCCCACGACTTCCAGAGGGTTCTTCCTAATACATACATCCGAGTCAGTGTCTTTCCTTACTACTTCTTAAATAAAATACAAGGCCAACGGGCACAGTGCTTCTTGGTCATGTTCCTGCCTTCTCCTTCATCTCCATCCCCACCCTGCACACAGCTGCAGCCTGCACAAATCGCATTCAGGTTTGGTGCACACACTTCTTGTGTCTTTGCTCCTGCTGCTCTTGATCTGGAAGCATTCTGTACCCAAATCACCAACAAATGCTTATAAATCTGGAAGATCCTCCAATTGCTCAAGTGCAGCCGTCTGGGTGCGGCTTTCACTAGCTCTCCTCCCCTGGGAGTCTGTCACTTCTATGGTGACCCATTGATCCCCATTCACTTCCTCACCCCACAGTGACTGACTAGCATAGTCCAGTGCCATTTGCTAGCCTACATTAACTGGAACACAATTTCCAAGTGGGACTCTTGTCTTTTTTTGTGTGTGTCCTCTCCTTTTAGATTAACTATCTCTTCTAGAAGTCAGGTAATGAATCTGTTGAATGAATACAAATGAGTGGAAGGAAAGCATTTTAAAATTCCCTGGGATAAAATTTTGCAATTGTATTCAGAAATCTCAGATTTTAGTTAATTATTCTCAGTGAATATGCTTTACCAAATGTAAATGTTTCCCAAAAAGTTCATAATACACACTTGAAAAATAGCAAACCAAATGAATTATACAAACAAAAATAAAATATTCTTATTAACATGGTAGGGGTACTTGGATTTTAAGAACTAAATGCACATGGAGAAAATACATAAAATTATCACTTTTAATCTAGGAATCCATTTTTTTTTCAAATTAGTTTTGTTTAACAAAAAATGCTTCCAGTCTTTTCTTATCAGTTCTGTCTTTGAAATTTAAATTTGTTATTTCCATATAATCTTGAAATCACATTATTTTAAATTTAATGGGTTCTAAAAAAACCCCTAGAGAACACAGGGGATATTTCCCATCAATAAGGAAACCCCTGGGTGACGATTTGTCTCCTCATTACTTTTATCCAACCCACTAAGCTAATATATATTTTGCTGAAATAGAAATGCAAACCATGCTACTGGTCCCTAAGGGAATTTACTTCCCACTGCTCTCCAAAGAAGGCAGACATACAGGAAAAAAAATACTCCTGCGAATTTTACATAACTTTGCTTTTACTTTTTCATTCATTACCTTACTACTTGGTCAAATACCCAAGAACAGAAGTTAAACCCAATCCCAGGAGTTTCAATTCTTTTTAAGATTTCAAGTTCAGATGTTTGTGAATTTTTCTGGACACAGACTTCCCTAATCTTCTACTATGAACACCAGCATAAAAAAAGAGTCAGCTGTATTTCCAAGAGCACAGGTGCAGATACCACTGACTGCTGGTAGCAAGACCTGCATCTGGATGAATACTGAATAAAATATGATTAGCATCAGGTCAGCTGAATCTAGTAAATACAGCAATAATGATAACTTACTCTAGCAGTTCACAGCAGAATTTCATTCTACCCTGGTGCTCACAACTTGATGTGTCTCCAAAGTATCTTAGATTTAAAGTCAAGGGGAAGAGGGTGGGGAGGGAAGCCTAGGAAAACCTCATCAGATACATGGCCCTGCCCAGTATGGAGAGGAAAAGGCCGGAAGAGGGAGCATCGACGCACTGCACACCAGAAAGAAGACAGTGTGTATACATTTTTTTACCTTAAAAAAGACTATTTGAAATGGATAATTCATCTAAACTGTGGGCTCCTTAGAAAGAGGTAATATAAATTGCATATAAGCATTTACCCTGAGCTGAGCTATTATTCATGCAAGTTGAAGTCCATGAGTTATTTATGATTTGGAATGTGTCAAAATATACTTTTATCACCACAAATCAATACTACTGCTTGCTTCCAGGGCCCTTGACTTCCTGTCTGGTAGTCTGTTTGGATGAGTGTGAGTGCAGCCATCATCTGAAATCCTTTTTGTATATGTTTTAACCTGTATTGATGATTAGATGGTAGAGGGGGGAGGGAAGTGGTAGAAATCAGCATAATTGTCCCCCAGTTCCTGGGGTAGACTCTGGTACATTCTCCTTGGATTAATCTGTAAGGGTAAAGCTCTGCCTCTGTATTGATCTGCCATGCTTGTTAGGCTGCCCTAATGCACTGTTTTCACTTTGGGAAAATGCTAAATGAGATTACCGTCTAGCATTAGAAGGCCATAAAGCACGAGCCACGGCACCCTCCATTCAGGAAAAGGGTTTCAAAGACATTTCCAATATGCATTATGGTAAACCCTCTGTGTAATCATAGAGTCGGCAATAGACTTTTATTGACTGCTTTCATTCCTGCTGATGGAAAAAGCCATTATTAAGCAAAAATAACAAAAGGCAGAATTTCAAGATATCTAAGAAGGAAAATTAAATCTTAGTTGCAAAGGACATTAAAACAGTTCAATCTCATTGTTCGTAAGGAAGATTCAACAAAGCAATGGTGAGGCTGTAAAGAGGAAGATGGAATATAATTTTAGAGAACTTGGAACAATAAGACATCACAGTCATCAAAAACCAAAACAAACAAGTTTAGCAAAAAAGAATTGGTAGAATAAAGTCAACCTTTGAGAATATGTGTTCATCAAAAACAATTAAGGAAAAAAAATCCTGTTTTCTGGTCTATTGACATTGTTGGGGACTTTTAATGGAATATACCTTACGCATAGCTCTTTTATTTTCTCCCTGTCCTTTGATTCTTAGTTTCTTTCCTTCTCTTCATTTCCACAAGAACAAGAAGCCTGCCTTCAGCTTGACCTTCCTGCCACCAACAGTGGCAGCTGTGGCCAAAGCAGGTCAGCACATGAAGGCAGAATTGGAGAACCAAAGGTTTGTCCAAGAAACAAATCAAAAGAATTACTCCTGGTGGTATTCTATAGCCAACAAAACTGTTTCCTCTGGCTTTGGCTAATGTTCAATGCTAATATTCACTTAAAAGGCACTGAAGAAAATATACCCAAGTATTTTTCTCATTATACTTGACAGGTCCTCTGTAGAAACTTTGGAAAAAGAGAGAAAAGAAAAAGAATATCCATTTAGGCTGCTTCCAATTTTACAGTATTTCAAATAACCTTCTGATGGATGTGAATTATTACTACAATTTCTAATTATTTCCTTAGGAGATTTTCTTAATTGATCAAAGAGAAATGAAAACATTTTCAGTAAAAATGAAGCTGAGTTAAACAGTATTCACAAGTCTCCTCTTAAGACCCTCCAATACGGTTCTACTTGGGTACCTGTTTTACAGCCATCGCTGGTTTCACTGATGTCTCTCCTACTTTCATGTCTTAGACTCTTCTTTGATGTGGGTCTGAGCTTTAAATTTCAAGGAAACTACTTACCCATCTTTTTAGTTCTGCTAATATAAATGGCAAGTATACTAGGGTAACTTCAGAGAAGAAAAAAATATGGAGATAGCTCTTCTCCTACCATTCTTCACTCAGAAGGTGAAGAAGTCATGTAATGACAATCAGTTAGAAGCCACAATTCCTAAAGCTCACAGGAACACAGACATGGTTCATTATGAGTGCAGGCGCATGCAAAGAAGATCCTTGGCATGTATTTGGACCAGTAAGTACCTGAGAGAGTTCTACAGATATCATAATGAACCACTAGGAGAAAGGGAAGGGTTGGGGGAGGGAAGAAAGAGAATTAATGAAAATGGCTGGTGCTAAAAGGAAAATTCTGATTTTTAAACAGGGTCCAATGATGCATCCTTCATGAGGTCACACAGTCTCATCAAACCACATCTAATACACTAAAAGCAGGCATACAGCACAGCTCTGGAGTCAAATCTTTTAAACCTAATTCCTACAGCACAATGCAGAATCTCTTATTTTATTTTGCACAAAACTGTTCATTATACATTAAGCCCAGTGTCTAGGGTTTCTGCTTTTCTTTCAAAACATAAAACTAAAGCTGCTAAGCATGTTGCTAGTATTTAAAATGATGTAACAATTCACTCATTGCGCTTATTATAATAAAGCCAGTGTAAGGTAGTAAAAAGGAAGAAAAATATTCAAAATATATTTATTATCTCCTATGATTTTTTTCATTTTTATTTTACCTTATATTTCAGGGTTCTAATAAAATGTTCAGAATAAAATGTAAACAGTCTTTTTCTAAAAACGTAAGATCTGAGAAAGAACTCAATTTCAAGCATTTCTGACATTCCTAATAACTGCTAACCATTTCATTAATGGTGTTTCTATCTGGGCTATAATCAAATTTCCATAATTATGCTTGAGGCCAAATTTCTTCCGGAGGAGCCTGCTTTCTTTGTTTCCATTTGTTTGCACATACGTTCTGTGACATGATTTCTTAAAGAATAAAATAAAAATGGAAGAGATTTTCCCTCACAAACAACTATTACTAATAATAACGAATGTTAACGACTATGTTGTCCATCATCACAGCACACACACACACACACACACAAAA